TCAACACCACCTCCTCCAGGAAGACTGCCCTGATTTTCCCAGCCTGAAGGGCTCTCTTTTTTTTTTTCTGAACTTTTATAGACTTTACTTTCTCTGTTCCTTTTGTGATGCTCACATTGCTTTACATTAAGGTTGCTCTCCTACAGGATGTGCTCTCCTTAGGAGCAAGCTGTGTTCTTTTGATTTTCTGTACCTAAAATTTTCTAGTAACTCACAGTACTTAGATTATACCTCACATATAATATAGATTCATCATTTAGATTTTAAGGGGCCTGCTATGGACTAAATTGTGTCCCTCCAAAATTCATGCAATGAAGCCCTAGCCCTCAATGTGATAGTATTTGGAGATGGAGCTTTGGGGAGATAATTAAGTTTAAATGGGATCCTGGGTGTCGAGATCTCAGAATTAGATGATCCCTTTTAAGAAAAGAGATGTATTTTGTTACTTTGTTGTTTTTTTTAAATCAATTTGGCCTATTATTGCCTTTTGTTTGGAGAGTGTAACCCATTTACATTTAAAGTAATTAATATAAGGAAGGACTTCTGACATTTTGGTTTTTGTTTTTTTTATGTCTTACACCTTTTTTGTCTCTTATTTTCTCCATTATTGGTGCCTTTTGTGTTAGGTGATTTTTTTTTTATAGTGAACCATGTTGATTCCCTTCTCATTTGTTTTTCTGTCTATTTGCTAAATGTTTTCTTCATGGAGAATATATTTAACATCCTAAATTTATAACAATCTAGTTTGAATTGACACCAATTTAACCCCAATAGAATATGAAATCTCTACTCCTATAAAGCTCTGCTCTCTCTTTACGGTATTGGTGTTGCAAATTGCATCTTTATATATTGTGTGCCTAATAACATAGATTTATAATTATTTTGTATGCATTTGTCTTCTAAATCATGTAGGAAATCAAAAGTGGAGTTACAAAGAAAAGGAACTCTCTCTTCAAACTGCTGTCCCTCTTTTTCTCTGTCATGTGAGGACACCGCAGGAAGGCAGCCATCTGTGTGCCAAAAAGAGAGCTGTGACCAGAACCCAGCCATGCTGGCACCCAATCATGGACATCCAGCTTCCAGAATGTAAGAAAATAAATTCCTGTCTTTTAAGCTACCCAGTTTGTGGTATTTTGTAATGGCAGCCCAAGCTGGTAAGATGGGGCCCGATGTGGACATCAGAGCCAGCCTTCTTATTTTACATAGTGACCCAAGGGGACACAGAGCAGAGCAGGGATCAAAACCCAGCCAGTCCCCTGACCTCCAGCTCACCACTCTCCCAAGCATAATAAGCTTGCCAAATATTGCAGAATGAAAGAAAAGGCCCAAAGCCATAAGTATATTATTTTTAAGCATGTCCATACCTTTAAACTCTTTTCATCAAAGCTTTGAAATAACAAACCAAAGGCCTAAGGGGACCTTCAGTGAGGCCTGGAATTGAGAATATGGCTTAAAAAGCTGCCTGGGAAGAGGAGAGAAAGGGAGAGGCCTACCTATTTGGTTATAGAAACATCATAAGCGGAGTTGTGAATTATGCAAAGGAGAACAGAGGGCAGGATTCACAGTCTCGTGAGATTTCTTATACCTTTACACAAACCTGTGTGAACTAAAGCATTTCAGAGCTTTGCTTTAAACTACGTTACATTGGTAGAGTGTTTTCCACCTCACAAAGGGCTTCCACATACATAGCGTTGTGGGCTCTGTTTGACAAGCGGCACGGGAAGGGGTATCGCCATGGAGCTGAGTGCTCCCTTAAGCCTTAGCTTCTGTAAGTGACCCAAGCTGCTGAGTGCTGGAGTGGGACGTGATAGTGTGCGTGTGTGTGTGTGTGTGTGTGTGTGTGTGAGAGAGAGAGAGAGAGAGAGGAAAGAGAGACAGAGAGTTGAGGTGGGCTTGATCCCACTTCACTCTATGGGGAGCGGGGAGTCATCATTTGGGTATACAGTTTTAGCTATGCAAGATCAAAAGAGTTCTAGAGATTCGTTGCATAACAAGGTGAATGTACTTGACAATACGGAACTGTACATTTTAAATGGTTATGATGATGATAAGTTTTGTGTTATGTGTATTTCATTACAATTAAAACTATTTTTTAATTTTTAAGTTTAGAAATGGCCTGGTTTCACAGTTTTGCAAATCTAATTTTTTGGCGTAATTTAATAGAACACAGCTGGATTCCCATATCTGTTCCTGTATTCAATCTGTTGCAGCATGCTGTTTTGATTGAAGTATAGGAAGATTATACAGCATCACAGTTCAGTGGTTAGACAAGGGCAGAGCATTTTGATAACTCTTTCAGTAATTGTGGATCTTCTTCTTTGATACTGCGCCCCAACGCAACAAGTGGTAGTTTCTCAAAGGTTACTTATAGTGTGGAATCTGAAGCTATACAAATTAACTTTTGTGGGGGGAGGCAGAGACAAATGTATTTAAAAATAAAGAAAGAAAAAAAAGAACAAATTAACTTTTGATACTCTGTTACATTACAATTTTGTACTTTGCACTTTGAATGAATCTTTTACCCACTCATGATTTTTTTTTAACATCAAGCATTGATTATTGGGGAAATACTGGTTCACTAAGTTATACACTCTTCCAAATATTGGCACATTTGATTTTATAATATCAAAACATCACATGTGACCATCACCTCTGACGTCATCAGGAAAGTCTTGAAGGATTCTAAAGCTATTGAGCTCATGATGGTGAATACAAATTTTTCCAAATTCTAGTTTTCTCTTGAAAGCTCAAGTTTATCATTAGCCATAAATATTATCTGTGGTTTCCTCACACAATACGCTTCCTTTGTTTATTCTGGTAAAAAGACCTACTCAGTCAGCCTGTCTTTATAAATATCCATTGTACGCCTGTAATTCTTTCAAGTGAAAAAGGAGCTCCATGAAAAGCAGTGACTCTTCAGCTCACAACTCAAGAGCTTCTCCTCAAGACAACCGTCAGGAGCAGGAGAAGGGCTTCATCCCCATGTCCGCTTTTGTCACACAGAGTATTAAAGAAATGCGTACGGAACAGTCAAGCTTTAATAAAACTAATACTTTGCTTACTCCTTCCCTAGGGACACTCTTACATGAAACTGGCTCTTCTCCGCTGGGAGCACATGGCGGTGGAGAACACAGTGACGCCGGTACAGCCCGACACCAGGGCTTTACCTCTGCTGAGGACCAGTCGGCTTCCTTGTCGTTGCTCTCACCCCGTCAGTGTAAATGTCAGCATGTGAAAAGGGCAAATAAAGTCTTACTGTTAGTGCTTTGATCGCGCAGGTCCCCAGAAGGTGGTCCGTGAACCACCCTTTGAGGGCCTCGGACCTAGAGGTTCCTACTGAAAAGAGCTCCGGAAACAGATTCCCTGGGGTTGTGTCCTGGCTCTGGCCTCAGCTGGGTGGTGGTAGGAAATGCCTGCACCTCAGTGAGCCTCCACTTTTTCTTCTCTGAATGGAAATAATTATACTACCAACCTCAAAGGTGCTCGAGGAAGAAATAAGCCAAGCAGGTAATATGTTCACCTCGGTGTCTGGCCTGTTTTATGCAATAAATGTTAGCTTTGCAGGCTGTCTATTGTTGTTATTAATGCTGCTTTACCTTCTGTTCCTTTGCAAAATGCTACACATATTAAATGCCCAATAAATGCTACTAAAAATGTAATGACCTTCTCATTTCTCAGATGATAAGTTGTTGTTTTGCCAAAAGAAACCTTTAATTTCACAACAAATCACTAAGGACAACCTTAATAAGTGGTTATTGAGTGAATAATGAGTCAGGTATAGAAAGAGGTCAGTGTAGATATCTTTACTTTTAGATATTCCACCAGAAATGCTTCAGTTTCTAAGTATAACGTATATAAAAATAAAGACCAGGAGTTATTTTCCCAATAACCAAAAGTTATGTTAATGCTTGCACATAATTATTCTGAGATTCTAGACCCAAGACAACCCTAGCATAACACCTGCACTACTAAAGAAAAATTAAAGCAGGTCTCCTATCAGGCAGAGAACAATAAAATAAAAATTATCCAAGTATACTAGGCATCTTGAAGAGAGGTTTATGCATTTTAAATGTCTCCTTTCTTCTCTTTTTAAAGAATGCTACCTTCCTCCTAAGAAAAATTTAATTTAAAGGAGGGACTCCCCAGTTGTTATTCATATCATTTCTTAATTTGGGCAAAAGTCCTGGCCTTCAAAACCAGGGACACCAGAAACTCTTATTAAAACAACGCAGACTTTGCAACCTCAAAACCTGTAAGGACTGCTGGATTTCAATAAATAAAATCCTTGGAAAGTCACTACATTTGTCATATTTCAAGCTGATTGTGTAAATAATAAAGGTCGAACTCAGAAAACAAGGCTGATAATTCCATGGTGACCAGCCAGACTCCCGTTCCCATCATTTATTCACATGTTGATAGACTTCCCCAGGAAGCCTGGGAAAATAACAGAAGTAACTCAACTTTCCCCAAGAGAAAGGCCTTCATTTTTCCTTGGCAGATTCATTCCTAATCACATAGCAGGGAACCATTATTAACATCTGGATATTCAAAAAGAGCCACTGAATTATTATAAAAATGTTTCAAATCATCAGCCTAAAACTCAAATGATCTACAATGTGTACGGTGTTTTTTTTCCCCCTTTAGTCAAGAAGATAAATGGAGAAGTTCTTTATATTTCAACTTCCATTACACATTTGTTTTTAATCTGGATAAATTCATGTCTGCCTACTGTACCTCCATATCAAAGACTGATATGTCAGCGTTAGCTTCTGCTCCTCTCAGCATGGCTTTCTTTTAAGAATATAATTTTTTAGAAGTGAGATTACTGCAAAATTAAATGGTTCAAAACAGTCATAAGTCAGACACTAATACTGAGTTCAATTCTCTTTGAGTATAGTTCTGTGCTGTTAGATTGAACAGCCATCAGGTAGATCTAATGTCTTCAGGTTTAACTGGCTCCTTCCGCCTTTAAACAGTTTCTAAAAATTAATGGACTGGGTCTGTTTGACTTGTATAACCTCCCAGAGCCTAGAAGAGACCCGATATGGAGGCCCCAGAAAGCCTTCCTTCCTTGCATAAGGAAATTCCGAAGGAGAAACCCCTCCTGGCCAGCCTTACATTAGGGTGAAAGGCAGTGAAATGCGTGAACATCAAGAGGTGTTTCACAGGCAAAGAAATCTTTACCGTCTGCCATGTGCATGGGAGAGAAAGTAAAGAAACTGAGGATTTCTAGGTTGATTTGTGGATACAGGAGGGCAGGCCCTCCCCTAACAGCGGTGTGGTCTGGTTCAACAGTGCAGACAGAGGCCTGAACACTACTGGTCTAAATATTTATAAGCTTTAAATCAAGCTAATGAACAGTCAAATGAAATATCTTCTTTCCTCCTATCTTGAAAAATATGCCTTCAAAGTAAATGGAAGTCTGGGTAATCAAAGAGTGAAATATAGAGGCTTTAATCAAGTTGAATTTTCTGCACCAAAATTATCCACTTCTTAAAATTCTTTAGCAGAAAATAATTATTTTCTTCATTTTTTAAATTCACACACACAGTTTATAGTGATCCATTAGGAAAGAATGGTTTCTATTGTTTTGACAAAAAATACTAAGATTTATAGAGGATGCTTAGACTCCAATGCTATTAAACTTCTGAGACCATCGTGTGTACAAATGCGAGTTCCTGCCTATAGAAAAATTGCTTCTCTCACTTAGTTGTCTTGCCCCGTTCATATCTATCCCAAGAAAAGTCATATTATGTTCTTGCTTTGCACATTTTCCAACTCTATATTTCATGCGTGGTGCTGTTCAAAGAATGAAGGATCTTCAAGTCTCAGCCTGCGATTAACAGTGTCCTGTCGTGTGATTCCAATGAGCATTTCACAGGGTATCATGTGCCCAGCATCCTGAAAAGTAAAGAAGGACAGTTACAACAAGGGACACAGGTATACCTTGTTTTACAATGGTTGTGAACAGAAAGTATTGTGTCCCAAGGCTGCCACCTTCCCTTTGTCTCACGTTGTCTGTACAGAGATGGGTCATCTTCATTTCTGGCCATGACTTTAACAAGGGTCTTTAATTTTACCCTTTCTCATCCTGTCTGTCAAGTAATTACCATAATCTTTATTCAAATACTCTATAAGGAACTTTAATATATGATTTATAATTAAATATGAAAGGATCCATGAATCCCTTTAAAAAGTGAAACAACCTGTCATAACATGAACAAGATTATCAGACAATACTCGTTTTGTACTATTCTTATTTTTCTGGGTGTCATACAATCGTTGCCCATACAAAGGATTGCCCAGGTTTCTTATGCTTACCTGGTACCATACTTACTATTTTTTATTAAATGAAGACAGAAACATACCAAAAAAAACTAAACCTCAGAATAATCAGATATTCCAATTGTTTAACTGATAGCAGTGATTGAAACAAAAGTAATTGCGTCGAGTGCCAATTCACCCCTTCCCGACAGGATACCTGTTACTTCTTTTTTCCTTTATAATTTCCCTCCTCTTTAAGTCCTTCTCAAGTGGCTTCCCCAGCTGAAACTTGTGGCATAACCAGTAGTAGAGGGAAGAAGGATACACTTCCAAGGTGAAATGTATTAAACACAGACGTATTTTTCAGCTTTTCCTTTTGGCTCCGCCTCCTGCAGGACTAATACCTAATGATTCCAGGAAGTGAAAGCAATTAAATTTCACTTGGTGTAAAGTTGAAGAAATTGTCCCAGGTGAAAAGAATGTTTCTTTGCCACATTCCATAGGTGGCAATAAACAGGCAAATTTCACTGGTTTTGATATAGGAGTACGAGCTTTCACAGGGCTCAGGTTGATTTCATTTTTAAAAGTTGAATTTATGGGACAGAGGACTGAAAGGTTCGTACTGACATGTTTAAAACCCTCTTTTAAAAAGTGGCATATTGCATCATTCCATTTAAGTGTTCACACCGCAGACTGAAACATAATCTGTTTACTGAAAAAACAACTTTTTATTGCCCTGTGAATAATTTCCCATTGACAAAAAACACAATGTACTGTATTTTAGTGCTTTTGTGAAACATCTGGAAATTTTTCTTCAGTTGCTAAAGCTATTAGGAATTTGCATCCACATTCAAACTACTGATTTTTTAATTTAATGCAGAACAACTTCAAACATAGTACCGAGCAGCAAATCGAGAAGCAGCAGCTTCCCGAGGCCCGCTGAGGGCACCCACAGACAAGCAACGCAGCCACCTCCCGGAAAATCGGGTCTCCCAGGGCACTGGTAGGGAGGCTTTGCTTCTTTGTCCTCACTTCTCTGAGCACAGTGTAAAGTGGATCGTATTAGTTAGGGTTACACCAGCTGCTCAAACAAATAAACCCTAAATCTCAGTGGCTTAACAGAGTGGAAGATATTTTCTCACTCACCTGCTAGTCCAACGTGGGTGTGCCGAGTAGGCAGGCAGCTTCCACTTGGACACGTGGGGGCCCTAGGGCTTCCCTCCCTGACTCTGCATCTTCAACAGGAATCTTCCCAACAGGAGAGAGAGCTGGGCGACTCGGTAGTGGCCCTTAAGCCCGCTACATCCCGTGGGCTAGACCGCGGTCACATGACCTCTCTAAACACCAGGGAGGAGGGAACTGCAGACCAGTCCCAGGAAGGAAAAGGAAAGAGTTTGAGTAACTGCTAGCCAGTCAGAATGTCCCTCTCAGCACATTACAAGATGACAGTCTTTTTTTCCTCCAGATTCCAGAATGTTCAGTGCTGAGCAGTGGCTTCTCCAGCCCCACCTGTGGGCTTCTACAGAAGTCACTGTACTGCAGGTCCTGGGGTAATTCTGAAGTGACTGACGGCACAGGAAAGCCTTTCGACTTCAGACACTGTTGCCTGAGTTCAGTGCCAAAGTCTGTACCTTTCTTTGTAAAAGCTGTGAAATGGGACTGAGTAAGGAGAGAGCACATTAATCAACCCAAGCTCCAGCGAAGAGTACAACTTTGAGGTCAAAAATTCTTTTTGCATTTTATTCTATTTTACTTTTCTCCCAAGACCATTATTTCTCCACCAGGGAACTTCATGCATATTTAAGACTTGGGGACTCTACAGAAAAGTCTTCCCACAGTTGTTTAAGTGCCAGCGTGTAGGCACGATGCTCAGACCTAAGGAGATCGAGTGATATGGGCCAGTTTCCTCAAGAACATGCCCACCTAGAAAAGATAAATTAAAATATAAATAACTGGGGTCACCTGTGGATTCTTCCTTCCCACCCTGTGCCTTTTTCTTCTAACCAGCTTATGTGGGCAGCTCTTCTATGTGCTACCACCAGATATGCTCCTACTCCATCACCTTATTATAATTGAGTATTTACCTGTGAGCCTCCTCTATTAGACTGTAAACTCCTCCATGAGGAGAGGGGGCTTCTGCATCTCATTTATCCCCAGCGCATACCGCAGTCTCTGGCTCCTAAGAGGTGCTCGCTAAATACGTGCAGAATGGGACTGAATTGAATGCAAGTTAGAAAAAGATAAGTTCCATAAGACAGTAAAAAAATCAAAGAGCTGCTCGTGTTCAAAAGAGAGAGCCACGCATCTGGCTCAAGGGGGCCGGGGAGAGGGGGGAAGATTTCCTGAAGCATTTGAAGTGGACTTTAAAGGAAGGGTAGAGTTTCAACAGGCAGAATGTCAGCGATGGCCCTGCAGGCAGAGGGGCAGCATCCCTACCTGCTCAGAGGTGGAGAAGTAAAGGTGCATTGGAGGGACGGCTCGTATCCTTCCTGTGCTTCGAGTGTGTGGGGGGCGGGGTAAGAGACAGGAATGGAAAGGGAGATTGTGGCTATTCCAGAAAAGGCTTTGATTCTCACACTGGCAAGTTTTGATGTAATTCCGTGGGCCACGGGGAGCTGGGGGAGGTCTGGGTACCAGGAAGATCAATCTGCCAGCTGGGTAGGCGATGGATGTGTGGGTGAGAGTCAGGAAAGGGAGAGACCCCTTGCAAGGCTTGATGACGATGCAGGTGCATGGCCACGGGGCCTTCACTGAGGCAATGAAAAATGAAGAGGGACAGGCCTGGAGGAGTTTGGGACATCAGGCCCACAGCTCTTGATACCTGGTCAGGTTTGGAGGGACAATGACCAGGAGGAGAGCTGGGGAGTGACAGTGTGTTGCTGCCCGTCACTGCAAGAGGAACTTGGGGAAGATGCGCTGATTTGGTAATTGAGGGGAAGGTGAAAATTTGAGTTGGAGACATTTTGAGCTGAAAGTGGGTGGGAGAGTCAGGGCAGGGGGTTGGGAAGGTAGGACAACCAAATGGGACTAACAGCTATTCAGGAGGCGTCGTCGAGTGGCTGTGGGAAGGGCCACTGGGTCCTGGCCTCATACTCACGAAATTTCTGAAACTGAGACTCTGGACATTGCCTCTAAATGAGCTTATATATACAGTTCTTGAATTTGTGTTGAAAATTTGATAAACATGCCAAATGTACCACAATTTTGCACCCCTATAGGGGTATTTATTGACCTTCCTTATATACATGGAGACTTTAAAAAAAATAAAGGTGTCTTTTCATAGCTCTTACTTGGATACCCTCATCACCTGCATTTACCTCCAATGCTGGTAATCTCTCCACTGAACTATAATTGCTGCATCCCTGCCCATCTCCCCACTGCCCAAGAGATGGAGTGAGGTTCGAACCCCAGTATCTAGCCTGACCTCTGGCAGAGAGAGAGCAAGCCAATAAATAAATATTTTGGGAAGGATGGTGAGGAAGAAGGAAGTCGGTTATATTGAAGCAATAATTGCAGACATCAAAGTGGAGAAAGATTGTAGAAGAAAGAAAAGGATTTTCCTTTCAAAAAGGGCACCCACACAATCTTGTAGCATTAGTCATCGTACCTAACACATGCCAGCTCTCCAATGTGAACCAGGCACCATCTTTTGGTGAAGATTCCTGACATCATCGTAGATGTTCTATCAAACTCAGTGTCAGGAGGTGGGGTGACGAGATGGGCAAGATCAGGGCTGCCAGACAGCTCTGTTTAACACCTTGAATCTCACTTGTGAGCGCCTACAAACTTCTCCCAAGAAGCTCTCTGACCTCCTCTTCTACTCCTCGCTCCCTGGAGGGATGGTGAGGAAGGATGGATGGAGAGAGGTGGAGTCTCTTCTGAGTAAGGATGGAGAGAAATGGACTCAAGATGCAGGAGACTGAAGCAGATTTGAAGATGAGGGAAAAATGACCCTGATTTTTCTTCTTCCCCATTAAACTCTGTGTAGATTGCTTCAAGAAAAAAGAATAACCCATTGCCCAATTATTATAAGAATATACTTCTGATACACCTGTTTTACTTTCCAACGCCGACTTTGATGACCTTAATTTTTCCTATGCTGTGGTATAAATTTTCTCTGAGATCTTTATCTCATCCTGACACCAATTAGCACATGAGTTTCAGCAGAGGAATCCATGGCAATTTACTACACACCTTCCAAGAAAAGGAAGCACTAATCGAAATGAAGACTGTCTCCAAACCAATTGAACAGGTGTGCATTTCCATAAAGGCTGCACAATTCAGCCACGTAGTGGTGTTTGCTCCTTTTGCTTGTGAACTGAATTAGTAATCTTCACATGCCCTGTCCCGGTGATTGAAATAAATTACTTTGTTAAATTGCGAAGCAGGTTGACCCATCTGTTGGCCCATGAATGTTCAGATTCTCGGAGGGTTTATTATTCCAAATAATGACTGCCATATGCAGCGGTAAACAGTTCCTTTAAAACTGGCTGAAGGATTTGGTGTGACTTTTGAAGGCAATTTATAAAGCTATTCGTGTTCCCCTAAAGGATCTGCCCTTCAACTAACTTCCAGAAAAGTTGTCTTGATCGGTTAATCCTGGCCGAGACACCTTGCTCTCTTTGGGGAGGAGAGAG